ATTTAAAACATAAATAAAAGCTGAATTAACGGGAAGGGAGAAGTACGCGAGTGACTTTGGCCGGCGCAAAAATTTCCACGGGCGTAATTAAGCGACTCGGGTGGGCAGTGAGCGGGCGTGCATGGAGTTCTAATTGCATTCGTTAGCGGCCGGCTGCGATCGCATAAATAAACCTCGGATGAGGTTTTATCGGGATTGCATAATGACGGACTTTACGGTTTTCTACTGACTTTACGGTTTTCCTTACCGGAACAACGTACGTGTATCTGTCTTCCTTTTTTTTGTACCCCGGCCGAATATGAGCCACGAATGTGGCATGACGTGAAACGCTTAGAAAGTTTGAGCTAAGCACTTTTCCCGCCGTGCTGAAAGGCTGAGAACATTGCGCTCGTCCAGGAATGCGTATCGACGAAGCGCCTGCTGCGTGCCGTTACGGCTGTTGTTCGAGCGGTCGCCGACATTACGACTCACCGGACTCGATATATTCCGCGCACTTACTTTCGCGATTGTTGACGAGGAAGTGCATCCATCCGGATAACATCGACGTGCCTGCAGACCGTGAGGAAGAGCCTTCCTTTTCGGTCGATAGAAGAAATAGCTTCTTGGAATTAGGCGGAAAGAACGGTTTCGCTGGAGTCTTTAAAAATTTAACTAGAAATCTGAAAATAATTATGTAGGACACCTAAGTTCTGATTCCTAGAATATCACAATTTTTTGTAGTATTGTTCATTATACTTGAGTATTCTACACTGTTAAATTCGTAGTCGAATTATAACCATAATTTCAGTTATTTTTAATCATTTCCATAGGTCGTCACTGTTACTATTTAATGTGTTATTAATTTAACTAAAACAATGGAGTTAAACAATTTAACTCGAGAAAATGTATTAAGTTTAATTTAATTTAAATTTAGTTTATATACTAAGTGCATACGTTAATATATGGACCTTGTTTATTTTCAAACTAATCACAGAAATGGATTAATTTATATTTTGACACAAATGGAAGTTAAAAATAACAAAATGTTATTCTTAAAGGATTGGGTAACCATTGTTCTTTGATATCTAGTAGTATACATACCAAAATATTTTGATAGTTCAACTAAATAAATTTTTAGATATTTCAGCAAAATCTGTTTTTTCGTATAATTACTCGCCGCATCGGAAAAAAAAGAAAAATAAAATTTATTAGGAATGAATACTGATGAAGTTAATCGGGCTTTATGAAGAAAGAACAAATTTTGAACCGAATCCCTTTGAATCTTTTTCACTTAGCGAAAATGCTGAAAATTAGAATGAAAAGCGACACCGTCGGCGAAAATTTGAATGGAAAACGACATTGTCGACGAAAATCCGAATGAAAAGCGGCGTTGTCCTTTCGGAATTAGTTCGTCTACCGCGAAAGGTTCAATTATGGGGATGATGTTGAACGTGGGACGTTATGCAGACTAATGTAGCGCAATAAATCACTTAATTGAAATCACAATACTACTGGTGGTTAATTTATGGCTTGAGAGAACTAAGTGTGCTCTCTCTAATGGCTGACTTTCTTAAGTTACATCGGTTTACCGGCGGGATATTTGGTCGACATGGTAATTATTTCTGTCGACCTGATTTCGAAGTTTGCAGTGAGTGCAAGATGGCTATTCCACCGTAATATGTAATTTCCCTGTAAAGCAGAGCTTTACATCAATGTCCTACCGCGGTGTTACGATTTGGTTTTTGTTTTCACTGTTACATGAATACGCCAGTTAATTACACGTAATCCTGAAACCTGATCCATGCATCGATGCACAGCACCTGTATTGTTACGACCTGCGTCACGTCATAAATAGGGCATGGCGAACGCGGAATTTGGCTGAAAAGATTTAAAACGCCGCTTTTTACTCATATACGGAAGGAACAATTTTGCTGAAATATCTAAAAATTTGGATAAATATATAGATCTGAAAATAATTTATTGGACCATCAAAATAATTATGTATATAGGAAGTTCAAGTATGATGAGCGGTTCCAAAAAGTTTTACATTCTAGCAACAAGCTTGAGCGTCCTATATCATTATTATTTTAATAATCTAACAAAATTATTTTCAGATTTGTATCTCGTTGAACTTTTTAATGTTTCAGCACACACAAAATAATTTTTCCTGTATATATACTCTAATAATTATCATTACCTCACAAGGATTTCATCATTTCAATGCACTGCGAATCAGATTACGAGTAGTTTTAATCGAAACGATCTGGTTCACCCAGACAAAATTATATTTGATTTTTATACTCATACAAAAGAACGATTTTGCTACATAAAAATTTAGGTAGATACAGATCCGAAAATAAATTTCGTTGGACTATTAAAATAATTTATTGAGACGTTCAAATTCATTGCTAGAATATCAAAATTTTATCTCATCATGCTTGAGTTTCCTTCGTAATTATTTTGTTAGCTCAACAAAATTGTTTTCAGACCTGTATTTACTTTAATTAAATTTTTAGATACTTTAGCAAAATCGTTTTTGTGCATGCGTTCTTCTTTGAGCTTGAATAAAAATATGTTATTTATAAGTTGAATGTAAAATGACGAGTTAATCGTAATTAACATTCAATCACAAGTTAAATACATTAATTTTTTTGTAAGGAAACGAACGTTCCATTTAATTGTTTTCAGGACAATTAAGATACCGTCAATGAAAAATGTCCAACTCGCGTAAATGCCACTCCCGCGATCTCTAAAGACGAGAAGAGAAATCAATCTCATTTCGTTTCGCGACATTTAGAAATCTCGTCGCCATCGGCCGTTTCCAGCAAGATGAGTGTCCGAGAGATCGGTAAAATTATAGGCCGTTCACAATGGCGACGATAACAACGATAACGGCGTGTCGCATATTTGCGGACAGTGAAGATGATCAGAGAGAGCAGTTTAATTACTCGGCCGCGGTGCGAGTGAAAATTAAATCGCCAGTTAAGTAGAGCACAGAGTGAATCCGAATGCTCAGTAAAACTGCACGGCGCAACCCCGGAATTAAGCGCGGATGTAGCGCCGCGAGATCCGCCATTCACCCTGCGATCCTTTCGGCTTAATGAAGACTTGATTACAACGCGTGGACGGTCTAAGCGACGATTAGAATTTATTATCCGGTAACCTCAAGCCGCTTCTTTCCGCGAGCGCGCGGCCTTCGTTCCCGCAAACCCGACATGACGCAGAAGCATTATTCATGATGCAGATAATCGATCGAAGATCCCGGAAATGGTCTCGTCTATGACACGGTCCGCTAGTGGCGATAATCGAAAGTTCTAAAGCGGAAACGACGAGCCTCGCCCGGCTCGAGGAATCAAGACAAAGGAATCGTTCATGCAAATGGTTTCAGCCCTGACATTTCATTCGTGAGATTTTCTCTCGGTTTTCCTTGGTTTTCGAGAGCCGAGAAACTCGCGAGATACCTTTCGCAAATGATGTGATACTCTCGGACAATTGCTAAATGTAGCGAGTCTCGTCGATTTCAGGTCTGTCAAACATCAATTTGGAGGTAAACTCCAAACGACGGATATTGGCTATCGTGATGGGTGATGGCTCTAAAATAAACTTCCACGTTTCCTATTGGATTTTAATGTAGTTTCTTCTCTCTCAAAGCAATTGTTAAAGCTCGATAATTGTATGAATGTTATATCCGGCAACAAAAAGCAATTCCACTGATTTTAGATCTGACAAAAATAATAATTGTAGACCTATCAAATAATTTCCAAACTAAACTCCAATTGACACGCATTATATCGGTGCGATAATAGATATGAAGATAACGAAGATAAAAATATGAAACTTTCGCTTCTTACTAAGTTTTAATTTCTTTTGAAAATATTGTAAAAATAATTTCTTTTTATTGTAAGTAATCACTCAAACTGTCATTTATTGAAATTATTTTTCAAATGTTGATGGTTGTTTGAGAAAGATTTCTCTTTGATTACTTCTTGACACGTAAATCATTAGAAATTAGAGCGTTCGTAATTCAATGGCTATTTTCTACGATGACGAGGGACTGGCATCATCACGTAGAAACGAATGATCTCGACTCTAAACTTAACATGAACGAAGATAATTTACATGACTAGAGTTTGAATAAAATATATACATGAATCAATTTTTAAGTTATTGATAATTTCATTATGATATTATCAAATCAACAAGGATGTTGTAATATAATACGAATGTAATATATCGGATTACAATATATCTCCAAGTAATATAAATTATTAGATATTTTTATTGTTAATTGTTATATTAATGTTATATATATAATAAGATTATCAAGATAAAACTCTAACCAATTGTAATTAAAAAAAAAGTTAAATACAATTATTAAAAATTGTTTATCCAAATATGAAAGAATTATTAAAAAAAAATAAATTTAAATTCAAAAGGTGGATAAAATTATTAAAAATATTATTTATCCAAATATTAAAAAAATGATTATCCCTGTATTAAAAATTATTAAAAATTATATCTAAATATTAGTACATGTTAAAAAACATGTTAAAAATTTTAATCTGCATACACATTCGAAAAATTTAATCTGTACTAAATAATGAAAAAAAAATACTTTTACAATTTTGAGAAGTATTTTTTTTATTTTATATAATAATATTGTCTAAGTAAAACGTTTGTTTAAAATATGTCTTCTCAGAATCTGTTAAAATATATTGTTTGCACGAACAGCGCTCATAATAAATGCGAAAAATTTCGCTATAATTCCATTGACATGTTTACCAATATACAATTTTCAATATACTTTAAACGTAACATAACGTCGGAACTGAACGCTCTTCTGCAAAAAAAAAAATAACACGTCTAAACCGTAAATTTCAGTTAGAGAACCGACGCCTCGACGTTTGAAATATTGAACAGCGGAGCGAGGTCCCATTCAACAGCTAAAGGATGGATCTCCGGCAGAAGTGACCGTCGATTTCGCAGGTAGACGGACAGGTAGAAACGTGCACATAACTCACCAGAATTTTATGCACGGGGTTCGCTTTGGTGGGGTTTCCGGGCGAGTTGCGATTCCAATAGTCCACTATAGGCAAAACGATTGTGTCCGTTTTCGTGGCGAAATTCCGTGTTACTGAAAGCGGCCCCGGGACGGAGCTGTGAAACGTCGGTCGGCTTTACGATCGGTCGAAAGTACCGGCGAGCGGGCAAGCCGCACCACGGTTTCTACAACACAACTGGCTTTCGAGAATTCCCGCTTGGAATGCCTACGAGGAGGAACGGTATATGCGATACTCGGCCGTGCCTACCTCGGCGGAATGGAAAAGGCACGGCGAGGAGGGATCTTCGTGCCTCCACCGCCGCGCCTACGGTCACGTGCGCGCCTCTCATGCATCGCACCGTAATAATTGAGATGCATCGATTGTCGTGGGGACATACTCGAAATTCGACGGTTATTATATAGAGATTCCTTAGAACCTAGTCATGTCAAATGGAATCAATATAAGATATTAGAAATAGAGTCAAAATTCGCCCAGTTTACATCATTCGAACTATTTCGTCGCAACAAGATGCGTCTTGTTCAATTAACAAGTGTATGAAAATCATCATACGCTACTTGTGGTTTATACGATTTGATAAACTTTTTGTTGTAGTGAATAAATTTACAGTTTGACACTTTTCAAGTGAACATGCGCTGCGTCGCTAGAGGAGAATAGTATGAAGAAAAAAAATATTTGAAAGCATTGTTTTTTTATGAGGGAGGAAAGTAAAAAGTGCTTAGAATTATTTATTTAGCACACAGCTTAAATTTTTTAATGTCAGTTTATATTTTGAAATGTGTTTGCTGAATATATTAACGTAGTGTATTTTATACAGACGCACGAATTAAAAACTTGCAGCACAAAATAACGAAATCGTCCGATTTTAGTATCGCCTCTGGCATTCGTGATTTCGTAACTTCGCAGTTATGTAAAGTAAGCGACTGAACTACGAAGAGTTGAAGTTTCAGGTGTGGAATGTGAGTATATTCTTCCATACTGCGCGTTTTTTGTTTGATAGTGAGTCATTAAATACAAATTATTGTCTACACACTTTGAATTACTGTGAAAAAATTAATATTTGTTATATCAAGAACATTCAGCAGCTGACATTCTTATATTTTATTAGATAAATATAAATGTATTAATAATTATAATACCATATAATAACTGTTATTAATTATTTTTGTTATTGGTTAAATATATTTTACGAGCAACGTTGAGCAATTTTGAGGAAAGGAAAAATATCTGTATGATTTTGTATTATTGATGATTAATTACACGTTAACGCTGTATTTTAATTTGAAGCTCTAGCAAGAAAGCTAGTTATTTTAAAATAGTTTAAAATATTAATGTGCGGGATATTCGTGAACGATATTTACAAAAATGGTACACAATTAAAATATATAATATGTATTGTATTCTTAAATCTCATAAGGTTGTTAAATTTTGGTTATACATCGAGGAATCAACAAAACTTATTATGTCAGAGATGCGGTCTTTGTCAATAGAAACGTAATACGATCTAATCTATTCGTAGTGTGCTTCACTTGACTGTGAGAAGTAATTATCATTTCGTAGACCATGCGTGTAACACAATTACATAAATTGTGGGAAACGCCCACAGGATTGCATAAATGTAAACAATTGTACAGATTTTTCTCATGAAGCATAAGTAATTATTGACATGCAATGCATGGCATAATACGCGATATAAATACATATATATATATATATATATGTACATATTATCTCTGCTATAAATATTTAAAAATGTTACATGATATAGAGAGAGTGTTCCACTTGTCATGCATCATTAATGTGATACCTACATTCTTGATCAGTTTAGTTTTATGATATTTCTTTAGTCATAATATCGAGGTATCGATAACTTGATAATTATTAAGCAACTAAAATATAATTATTAAGCAATAAAAGCGATTTTCTCGCGAATTAAACAGGGAATTAAATAATTTGCAAAATTACGTTACTGGTAAATTTTAGATACAGTTTATTTTAATAAAATTCTAATTTAGATCTTTTTGCGAAGATAATGTTACAGATTGAAAAGTGAAGTGAGTATATAATGACCTCTCGTTATTTTTGCTAAGGAAAGATCGATTTTTAATTGATTCAAACTTTCATCGTTAAAAATGAAGTCTAAGAATAATAAGAGGTATATATATTTTTATTACTTTTTTTTGGGAAAATTTTTCATTCTTTCTACTGTAGGCATATAAAAGTAACTATCCACTTCCCTCTGTCCAACGAGCCGACAGGGATTTATAGATAACAACGACCACAGCTAATCTTTGCAATTCATCCCGCGGAAAAATTCCAAAAAGGATCCATCACAGTATTAATGGAAACGTTAGTAGGATTATTTGAAACTGCGTAAATCGCACTGAGCCCGTTGAAGCGTAGTAACGCGCATTGGTAACGGGAGAAGTTCGGATAATCTCTTGATCGCTCTCGTGAGAGCCAGAGTGCGTTCAATTTCGCGAGAGTTTTCTCTCTTTCCTTCCCCCTCATTCTCTCTTTCCCCACTTCCACAGAATGAGGATTATTTTTATGATTATGCATCCCGTGCTGTTGCTCGTTAACCACGCAAGGTATCCCGGATGGAGGCTGATGCGAAAGCACGCTTTAGTGGGTTATGACGGTCAGCTAATTAGCGAAATAAATTTTCGAGTAATGATATCGAAATAAAATCACGTAGCGTATGCTAGCGAATGTAATGCAAATCCGATATTTACCACACTGCTGGTTATACATATATGTGGGTACATATGTATTCGGTAGAGGTCGGTAGCTCTCCAACAGGAATTATTCATGTAATTTGATCTTCAGCCTATCCATGTTCAATATAAATAAAAATACTGATATTAATTTATAACCGATAGGATGTCAATTTCTAAAAATATTATAAAAATTTTTGTTTTAATTATTTTTTAATTTTCATATCTCAATTTTAATAACGTCATATAAAATTTCAATAGTTACACAACCGCATATACGTATGTGAAATTGATTATTTATAGAAGGGTGTTAAAAAGAAATCGACCTAAAAGGGTGTAAATAAAAAGAATAATGTTTTTTTGTAGATTTTTACCTACTGGATACAACAAAATTATTAAAAAATTTGAAGCATTTGGGAAACACTTCGAAAATTAAACACGAACATGGTGAATTTATTCAAATTTTTTGCTAAATTTTCGAGATATTCCTCAAACGAACTTTTTAATAATTTTGTGTATCTAGAAGGTTAAAATCTACAAAAACATTATCCCTTTTAATTAATTTTTCGGTCAATTAGCCTCTTTTTAATATCCTTCTTTATAACGTTATTAAAATTAAGATAAGAAAATTAAAAAGTAATTAAAAATTAAAATAAAAATTCTTACAGTATTTTTAGGACATCCTATTGGTTATAAATTAATATCAGTATTTTTATTTGTATCGAATTTAATCATTTAAACAACTTTTAATTAGGATGCTGTAAAGCTAAAAAAATTGTTAATTTTCCCAAAATGTGTACACATGTACTTATGTATAAAGATTTTTCAAATTATTTTTCATATTATTATGTAAATAATAGCAATTATAAAATCGATTAACAAATATTTTTCTCAGAACTACATTTTCAAAACAGTGTAGCAAGAATTATTTCAGCCAAATTATTTTAACTATAATATATATTTAGATATGTTTTCTATCTAGTCATGTAACGTTTCGATACATTTACTTTTCACTTACCGATACGGTGATAACTTTTTTGTGAAATTTCAATTTCATAGATTTGAATACATGCGATTTTGTTATTTCATCAAATTTTGTATACAAATAACTAATAGTAATTTATTGTAAAAAAATAAAAAAGTTTTTATTTCACACACACACACACACAGGTTTACCCTTACAAATATTATTTTTAAAAGCTAATAATATTCAAACATTTTTTAAATTATTGTATAAAATACAATAAAAATGAATTAAATTTTTTAATATTACGAATTTGAAAATATTAATTTTTAATTTCCCAGAAAGATTCTACTATATATTGTTTTGATTAATAAATTCATTTATGCAGAGGTTCCACTTTTTAATCGCTTCATATTATTGTATCTGTCTAAAACAGAATTGTTAATTTACATTTTACAAATCTGAACAGCATTTGTTGTTAAATCGATTTAAAGTTTCAATATAATAATTAAAATCGATGCGTGCATTAATAGATATATAAAATAACAATAAGATTAATAATGAAAAAATCAATAAAACCGATGGTTAATCATACGATGAATTTGATCTGATTGCAGTGTGCCATATATCATTCGATAAAAGTGCAATTTTAATTGGGACATTTTTTTTAACGATCAGGGCAAAATATACGATTATAAAACGGCTGCAAAGGATGGCTCCGCTGAAAACTATGGAATGACGTAGTAACGCAGGGCATTAATGACTGCGAATTGTGAAACGTGTTTCTCATTCCATTCAGGTAATCTATGGTTGTTACATCTCTCGCGAAGCTCTCTACAAAATTGTGGTCTGCAATGACCTACATACTACTCAATCGATTCATTTTCTTTCGACCGCGCTCGGTTTGCACATTATGAGCTTCTCGTGAAACGTAAAATGCGTTAAATAATGTGGAAAATGCTCACACGTGCTACGTAAAATGAAAGCGATCAATTGAAACGTTATGCGCGCTCGTATGGCGATTTCAGATGTTTCATTAATATTTATAACGATATGTCTTGATACTTGCGTTATCATAAACGTTCTTTGTTTTCATCGTCCATGAGTGATACGCAATTACAATTGACTGAATTTCAGTCACGTCCAGCCCCCTTTAATAGTGTGTCATTGCGTGCCAATGCTATACGGTGGCATAAAATATTTGTCTCCTATGGGTTCTGCATGTTAATGAAACAAAAATGTGTTTGCGTGGAATTCATACCGACATCATGTTCAAAAAGGAGCTTATTTAATCTTTTGCCAAGTAACACATCAATGCATTAAATAAATTTATTAAATTGCTTAAATTTTGTTATAAAATTTATAATAATAACGTATTAATAAAAATATAAAAATCGTACATGGATTTCAATACAGTTTTTGTTAAAGATTTATGATTATAAGTTCTCATACATCTCTACTTTCAAATAAATTAAATAAATAACCATATTAAAGTTCTATCATTAATAATTAATAAATATATTTTGTTGGTAAATCATTAAAATTAAATTTTTATTATTAT